GTCGAGAATTCGAATCTCTACCCTCGTATTTTCTTCGTCTGCCGCGTAAGTTACGGGTGTCGTCTGTGTAATTAATCTCGAGCAGGCTGTTAATTTTTTCTTCTCCTCGTTATCGCTGGACTCTAGCCAGGAAATTTCATTCTTCCGTTTCCGGTTGGCCGCATCGCGAGTTCCTCCTCGTGATCCATCATTCTCTGTCCGATGACACGAGATACTCCTCGTTTTTGGTACCATTCTTCTCCCGTTGTTACATTCTTCAACTTCTGCGTCCAGAAAGATTTATAGCACAGTCTCTCCTGGAGAAGCCTATCACGCTGGCTACCGTAAATTCCACCATAACTTTCGACTACGATTGACCCCGATTCCGTAACCGGAGGGTTAACGATTTCAAACTGAAATACTTTCGAATAGCTGGTAACATAATCGCGAACTTCGGTAAATACGTGGCGTGGCTAGATGCAGTAAAATCTCGGTGGAAAGTGCACGCGGTTGCGACTGCGCCCGTTGAAACTGCATTCGAGGACAACTTCCTGACATTTCGCAGCTGCGGTCGACCGCGTAAACACATCCACAAACGTCCAACCGTACCGCACGACACCTTGCAGACGCGGATCTGACGCTTCGAACGGTCGACCTGCTGAAAATATACGATTCACTACGAATATAAATATGGTAAACACCGAAGGTATGGAAAGAGGGAAAGAGAGAGAATTGTTTTCTTGCTCCTGCTGCAGTTCGCTATAATTAGCTCGTACGCTCGTAATCACGCGTAATTTCACATCGATGGACGGTGTTTGGTCAATGGTTAAACTTAGGGAGAATGGACGAAAGCAAATATTTGATTTCTCGAAACGAGGCGGAATCGAATTCCGATATGGTGTACTCATTGCCTGCCAGAAGGAGCCTTTCCAGAAATCCCTAGTTCGATCATTGATATATTATGTAGGAGAGGAGAGAAAAAGGCGTTTTGTCTCGGGATCATCTGTCAGACTCGTCGTGGGGCTGACAACAGACGATCCCTGCCCCAGACACCTATAATACCGCAATTCGGAACTTGCATGCCGGGCGACCGTTTGCGAGAACACTGTCACCGATCATCTCGCCGCCACCTAGCGGTCCCCGTCCCGAACTAAAGGCGTCTGGGGGATGAAATCCTCCCCTTCCTCTCCACCAAAACGCCTACAATTAGGTATAGCAAATTTTGTCAGTATTATTTGTACCCATTGGAATTGTTATCGAAGTGACTCATTGAATGCATTTCAACGTGAGGTAATTCAATGTAAATAACAATTGTTGCCTCGTAGACCCTTCAGGTCCCGGCAAAAATAGGTTATAAAATCGAGGTCTGGTCGACTACCCTTCATTGGGGTCACGTATCGTTAGGCGCTCCGCAATTAAAAATTAGGAATTCACAAAAAGGATAAGTTTTCGAATGGCCCCCACTAAAATTGAGAACTTAGGTTCGGTATATAACCTAAATTGACTACCAGAAACCGATCAAAATTGATTTCAGAGCTGGATGTCTTACCATGTCGTGGTAAAAAATTTTTGTACAATTTTGGGACTAGATATGCGCTATTCGATACTGCGCATGCGTTATTCAATACTGCGCATGCGCTATTCAATACTGCGCATGCGCTATTCGACGCTGCGCATACACAGAACCTAACCTACTCTAACCTAACCTTACCACGATATCTCGAAAACGGTAAGACATCCAGCTCTGAAACCAACTTTGATCGGTTTCTTGTAGTCAAATTAGGTTATATATCGAACCTGAGTTCTCAATTTTGGTGGGGGCATTCGGAAACATAGCCCCTAAAAATTTTGGAAAATCCCACGGTAAACCTTCCAGTTCCTCACATTTACTCATTCACACCACATTTTCTCCACCACTTTCTCCAAAACCAAAAAATCCTGCCCAATCATAACATAATTTTCTCTTCCATTTGCATATTCCTTCCTGCGTTTCCACCAATCAACGATATTTCCACCCATAAACAAATTGCATTCTTGTACTTACGCAGAAACGAGATCAGAATTCCGAGAACTCTCGTAGTAATAACACCTCTGGAAAAACACACACTGTCATTTGTACATCATATACTCTGTTAGTGAAATACAGTTTCATAATAAACCAATCAGTCGACTCCATTCATTCAACATAAAACAATTCTCGAGTATTAAATTATTCGAGGATCACTGAGACATTTGAGAGCGAATCAACGATCTCAGGTCACAGTATTATACAACAATATTAGATGACATTCAATGTTGAACTTGGCATGGCTGATTCATGAGCAGGGACGAAATAAGCGGAGCAAGATCATTCCATATTTCCTAGTTATTGATATATCCGAGTCGTGGTGACTGTAAATTATGAAGCAGCGATGTTCGACGCGTAGAAACAAAGACAGTGTTAGATTCAGCCGATTTATCGTTAAGCCATGATCGTGAGTTCCTGCGATCGATCTTACCCTTATCGTTGCACGATTTCGTAATTCCCTCGACGGTTCAAGTATAATCGTTACATTATCGTGCCGTTAAGGAAATTTTGTAGAAGAATTCCCGGCCGAGATCCACGAAACTCGATAAGCGAAACAGCCCGGTCTGTAACCGTTGCGGACACGATTTACTTCGGTTAACGCAAATTGCCTGAAAAATTCTTGATAAAGCTTGATCAGCGATAAACAAACGGTGTAAACAGACGTTAATTCTTGGGAAACTTGTAAAACGTTCGAAGCGGAACGAACGACGATTGTTATCGTTTAATGAGAAAATTGAGCATGAAATTTTCCTTGTAATCGATCATTTTATTTTCTCCGGTAATTCTCGTTGACTTCTGGCCGGATTCTAGTTGACGGGCAAATCAGGGTGTTGCGCGAAGCTTTATAGGGCTTGCGGACGTAGTAAAAGGCTCGTTAAAGAGAAATAACGCGTTAATGATGGATCTAACGAAAGCCATGCGTTGTGTACTGGTGCGATGTCATTTAACTCTGGTGCCGGGCCGTTCTTTATGTCTTCCGCACGAGAAGTCTCGTACAATGAAGGTTCAGTGTGTGTAATACGGTACGCGCAGAGGTTTGGAGCCGCAGGCGCGGCTGCTTGCCCGAGATAAATGCAACAACATCGTTCCCTGAATTATATCGATGTTTTGCAAAAAGTTTGCGGATTACCCGGGAAAACGCTTACGCGATACGAAATCTCTGCTATGCCAACAAAGTTTCCGCTTTAACGAGACGCGCTGACGAATTTAATGACCCTATTGCCATCGTTCAATGTTACGTTTTTGCATAGTAAATGTACGATTTTCAAATATAAATAAATATAGTTTGACACGATTCGATGACATTTTTCATTCATTTTCTATATTTTTGGAAAGCTCGCCGGTAATTAATTTTCTGGTAAAATGAGTCTCGTTACGGTGCTGTATATCAGAAGTCATGAAACTATGTAAACACACTAATATTAGTAATAATCTTATATACTAGTTTAATTAATAATAGAGTTTATGATTACATAGTTCATACAAATAAAATGATATGGATGAATTAAGATATAAGAATACAATGAAAAATATAGAAAGACTTCATTTTTACACCACATGGTCAAGAGTAGTAGGTAACTGTGAGCACCTCTCTCAACGCCGACGTTGGCTAACATTGGCATCATTTCTAATACTGTCAATACGGAACTACGAAAGAACTAGAAAATCCAGTGGTTGGAGTGTAATCGTTTCGGAAATGGTCGTGGATCCGTGAGTTCAAAAACGGAATTTCCTGTGTGCGTCGATCGCACGCGTCTGCGTCCGACAGGCGAGCTTGTCCGATTTTTTCTACTGAATGTACGCGTCTTAAAAGAATACACTGGTGGAATTAATTCTGGACATTTTGAATAAAAATATTCTTTATTTCATATTTGTGCAGAAAATGTATATTCTGCTAAGCTAAATTGATACCGTAATATTTTTATTATAATCTATAATGTTTATACTTCATATTTTCACACCATTTCTGTGAATGTTTTAAAATTTTTATTTCAAAAACTCTAAACTGTATTCTTATTTTTATTTTTGCGCCTAGTAACACGAAATGTCGCATGATGTGAAATAGCCAATCACAGGATGAAAGGATATCCAACGAAATATTAATCTTTTTCAACCTCCTTTGATAAGTTGAAATTGTAATTTTTATTGTATATTAAAAGTATGGCTGTAAATACTCGTAAGCGACGCCCTAAAATTAGAAAACAATGATTAGAATATAAAATATAAATGATTATATATTAAATAATTTGAATAAATGCGAAACTTAGTAAAAATTTGAAAGTGTCCAGAATTAATTCCACTAGTGTATAGCCATCAGTGGAAAAAATCGGACAAGATCGTCCGGACGCAGGCGCATGCGATCGACGCACATAGGAAATTTCGGCCTTATAGGAAATTCCGCCTTTAAAGCGTCAGTTGGTCGCGTCGCCCCGCGCCGCGCTGCGTCGTCGCGTATGGTAATTTCATGCGGAAAATTCCCGCTAAAAGCGTAATTGACCGAGGATGGCAGAAAGCAGGAGGCCCCGAGGGAACGAAGGAAAAAACAGGCAGACAATGCATCGTTGTTAGTCTAATGACTTCTTGCTCGGACGCGCCCCCGCGCGCGTCAATTCGCTCGCCTCTGGAGAGCCGCTGATGCGTTGTCGTAGCGATTTTCAGCGATGATAACCTCCTTCCCATTGTTTCGCGCGAGACAATCTCGCTCGACCTGGAAAGACATGCGTTTTTACTTCGTTTCCACTAGACCCTTTCTTCTTTCGAAGATGCTTTTTTCGAAATGAAAGTTCCCTTTTACATTTGGTCACTTTCCAAAAATTCATGTGAACTTGTTTGACCATGGACGTGTTTTTCTCCTTTTGGCAAAGGTATAAAATCGATAATATAAGAGATACTGTTAGATATCCAGTATTTTTGTGATACTGATTGTACGTACTTTTTTTCTGTTTTGTTACAGAAAGCCAGATTGGCACGTATCAGGATCGCTAAAGCTTCGAGCGGAGCAGCGTTCGTGAGCAAAAAGAAAGCGGCTGAAGCCCGATTGGCCGCACAGGAGAGCGGACTTCAGCTGGACGACTCTTACAAGGAGGAGGATATCTTCGAGCTACAGCATCATCATCTACTTCGTTGTTTAGAAAAGACTACGGTAAGTCCTCGAAACGTATTTCTAGCATTTGTAAAAATTCTTCGTCGCCGGATCGTTTGGCTGTGTTTCCGAATGGCCCCACCAAAATTGAGAACCCACCCTCGGTATATAACCTAAATTGACTGTAAGAAACCGATTAAAGTTGGTTTCAGAGCTGGATGTCTTACCGTTTTCGAGATATCATGATAAGGTTAGGTTAGATTAGGCTAGGTTCTGTGTATGCGCAGTATCGAATAGCGCATGCGCAGTATTCAATAGCGCATGCGCAGTATTCAGTAGCGTATGCTCAGTATCGAATAGCGCATGCGTAGTCTTACCACGATATCTCAAAAACGGTAAGACATTCAGCTCTGAAACCAATTATAATCGGTTTCTGGTAGTCAATTTAGGTTATATACCGAACTTGAGTTCTCAATTTTGATGGGGCCATTCGGAAACTATACAAAATTGTACAAAATTGTACTACGATATCTCAAAAACAGTAAGACGTCCAGTTCTAAAACCAATTTTAATCGGTTTTTGGTAGTCAATTTAGGTTATATACCGAACCTGAGTTCTCAATTTTGGTTGGGCCATTCGGAAACTTATCCGATCGTTTCTCTGGATAGAGAAAAATTGTTAATCTTTTTTTTCATTCACTGTAAAGTTCGTTACCTTTTACTGAGACGATGAGAAAAGATTGTTGATCGTTATGATGCGTCGAGGTGGTAGATGTTTCATTAAGCTCGTCGGTGGCTCGTTTAATATCGTGGCGTCAGTGTGGGATATGGCAGGTTATCCGAGCCGGTTCATTCTCTAGGCGAGAAGTAACGTGGCCGCTTAGAAACTAAGAGTCCGCTTCGCGCGTTGCAGAGTAATTTGAATAAACCCTCCCGTGTTCGGGTCTAATTTTAGCTCGGCACTCGCGAGGGATGCCGTGCCACCCACTAAGCTCACCCAGACCGTTTTATGTGTATTCTCTTTGTGTGCGATCGTGACAGGTACTGCGGAAACGTATGTGTTTCGAGGAACGCGCGCGACACAGAGCCTCGTTCTTTGTGCTATGCAACCGTATACTGGCTGTTTCATTAACTTCGTTACAACGTTTACGCGAGTGGTGTCTATCCGTGACGACACGATTTCTATTCTAATCATTTTAACAGACAAATTTATTCTTATACAAAATTTATATTATTTTTTCAGTTTGAAAATTTTTAAATAAAATTTGCTAATTACAAGTTTCAAATTGCAATTAGCGTTTGATATAGTAGGTAAAAATAAGGCGAAGATTAGTGGCGTGAAAAACATCGATATCACGAGATGCAGCGAAAACACGGACGTGTATAGCACGGTACGCTTTAATTGCAATTATTCGGGATACGATTGATTCAATTTTCAATTTCAGCTTTCCACTTGTTACCCTGCGTAATTAATATGATACTAATATCGCTTAAATTTTAGATACGTACAAGTAGGGACATTGAATAATGATGGAAGATTGGCACAGTTTAAAGTTGTGTATTGAAAAACTGTAGAACTGTACATAGCTTTGCGTCAGCACTGTTCATCCCATGTCTATTTAGTCTTTAAACTTCCTTTTTACTGTGTTAAGAAACTGTTGGCTGATTTTCAACAGAATTCAATCCTTCTTAGCACGATGTGGCGGTGAAGGTTTTCAAAATCAAAAAGTAAATCGTTCTTGACATTCCAATGAATATCTCCTTTACCTTCTATTATTGACCACATTTGTTATTTCGTTCGATAGTCGTCCTTGTATCGATATCACTCGATACATCGGAGATCTAGAAAGCATTTTTGCTAACAGGTATGCTGTATAATATGCAGGTACAATGAAAAAGCAAAGCGTTGAATAGCTTGATTAAATAGGTCAGATGGTATTTCGCGAATCGAAGTCTCTGTCTCGTTCGCCACTCGAGCTTGAATTTCCACGAAAATTGTGTTAATTGCAAGTTTTTCCGGGGGCAAGGAGGCATCGATTAACTTCGCGAGGGTTATCGGTACGAGTGCTTTCTCTGTGCATTTTACGAATATGAGATCGAGTAGAACTTTAGCCAGTGAATTTTTAGGATTAAAGGCCTTTCAACGAGTCCTCACTTCAACGTAGAGGAGAAGGTACAAATATGAGATACCAAGGTTTTAACCCGTACGCAGTATTAACTCTTTTAACAACGATTGTATATTAAGTATTACGACGAGTAAAATTCTCTTTCATAATATTTTTGATAGTTATCATTGCTGTATTTAACAGACGTTTTAACTTTTGCCCGTAATAGAAAATTTCTACGCGTGCTTTTTTGCTGTAGTTTATTTAGCGAGTATCAAAAAAGCAAAACGAGTAAGTTATACTATAATAATCATAGTATTAGTATATCAAATTTGTGTTTTGATTATGATAAATAATAATAGAGAGTGAAACAACAAATTTGTAGAAATATGAGATACTTGATTTGTAGCAATATGAGACAGTCTCATATTAATATTACATTTTGAAAATTATTAAATAATAAAATGAACATATGAACATATAAAATGTGCGTAAAGGCAAATTGTGGATTTAACACTAGAATTACCAAAACAGTTAAAATGACTGGTTTCAAGTTTCTTATTTTAATTTATAAATTTTATCAAAGTATTTTTGCTGGAATGTATGTTGGCTATTGTCAAGATAAAGAATGGATATATATGTTAAATTATGTTTCATCAAATTATATTTATTTAATTTTCTGTATTATTTTCAGGATAAAAATTAGTGTGCATCAAACATCGGTAATTCTAGTGTTAATTATATCTGACGTCCTGTTATATTTAATTTATTATTATTAATGTTCTACTTTAGTTTTATAACTTTATTCTTCTCACGAGTAACATTGTCTTCTATTATTACCCGAATTTCTATTAGGCCGAATTTGCCATCGATTAGAAAAAATGAAAAAGAAAAAGTAGAACTTTTGTAAAGTCTATAATATTTATATTCATACAGCACGTTATGTATGAAATTCTCCAAATTTTTGTCTGAGACTTTCTACATTTGAAAATAAAATGGGTATCCCATATTCGTACCCTCTCCTCTATTATTCCCTTTTTTCTCTTCTCCCTGAACGGACTCGGAGTTCCCCTTTTTCGTTGAAATCTAATAGACATCATATCTTCTTCTTCTTCTTCTTCTTCGAGTAGCACAACAGTTTTGTTACTTCTTATCAGCTTCCGATCACCTTGCTTTCCCCAACGAACACGAGCTTGCCCGATAGATCCGTTTGTTCACTGTCCTGCACCCAGTAGCTGTACTTAACCCAGAAAGCAACGCGATTCCGGGTTGCCTTTGTTGAGTCGTCAAGAAAATCGTGCACACAGCCTGGGGCCCCGTCGTTCCACTTCCTGTCGCTTTCTCACGCTTTTCGAGCACGGCTACGTGCCACCGCCTCAACTTCCTGCCAGAGTGTACCCCTGTCAACTAAGAGGATGTCCACGAATTCTGTTCATGCGTCATCATTGTTGAGCTTCTACCGCCATCAAGGGGATGATTTGTAGCGCGACAGCGAAGCAATGGCTATTTTTTCGTTTTCAATTTCTATGGTTTTCCTCGTTCGAGTTAAAAGGATCTGGTAATCTAGAAATATAATACAATGTCCAAGAGTGTCCATCTGGACATCCTCGTTTCATTATCTTTCACGATAGCCTTTCGTTTCAAATTTTCCAATCAGAACTTTTCCCACAGATTCGTTCGTTCTACTTCTTCTTCAACTCGACTCCCTCTCTCTCTCTCTCTCCTCATCTAACTTACCCTCTGAGTTATTTTTCCAGCCCCAATCCCTCCGTACTTTTGTCCTCTGGTTATTGCCAATCGATACGATTCTGCTTTACATGGAATTTTCGAACGAAATATAAAAGCATCCGATAACAAGGATAGAGGAGTACGTGCTACCCTCTGATAAGAGAGTGTTTCACGAAACGACTCGACGCGACGGATCAACTTTCTGCACGATTGTTTCGTAACTGGAGGCTCAGAAGCAAAAGAAGCCCCTTTGGAATTCCATAATGAAACGAAATACCAATTTGGACATTGTCCAGACATCCATCGGGGTTTTAGTATTCTGACGTTTGTTTTTCAAGGGTTGCCTTTCATTTTTCATCTACAACGTTCTTTGTTTGTTGTAATAGAGAAATATTGGGGGAATAGGTTAATTAAGATGATTAATGGGAACGGAGGATCTTAGATGATTAAGGAAGTTTGAAACACAATAGAGACGAATTCTGTGCAAGATCTTGATGGGATTATTGCGTGCCACTTCCATTCAACACCCCCTTCTGCGAGTAGCTGAATGAATATGAGAGAAGAAGAATCGTATCATTAAAAGCGAAGATCTACTTTTAATTTACGAATTTTAATATTTTACCTTATATTAACTGAAATCTTTTATTTTGCAAATTTCCTTTGTTCTTTAAAATTTCGCGATCTTACACGGAACGGGGTGGATTCGATCACTTGCTCTCCCAACAGATGCTAAATCTCATTCAATGATTTGCTATTTTAAATATCCACGCTAAACATAAACGTTTTCGTGTATTTTTTTTTTGTAATATCAACACTTGTAGCGCTTGTTTAAGATGCTAAATTATAGTGAATCATTCTGTACATACGTGTGTTTCCAAAAATACAATTACAACACAAAACGGGTGAAACGAGCTGTTTCCTCTCGAGGACTTTGATCCTCTTTGCGACGTAAAAGCACTTCTGTTCCCAGAGAACACGGTACACGTCTAATACAAAATCCATCATCGAAACAAAGATACAGGAACGATTTCTCAAGGAGAAAAATCTTTGAAAATGGATATCGTGTTGCGCAGCTCGCTCGCGAGTATCGTACGCGGCCAATCGGCGTGACGCGACAGTGTCGTCGACAGTGTCGGCGTATTGATTTCTTCCGGGTCGTGGTCGGCCTCGATCGAATCTCATCGGGGATCGGAGTCGTCGGGGCGAGACGTCACACCCGGGGATTAAT